ACCTAAAGCATTTGTATTCTTATGTCCTATGAAATAGTACGGGGTTACTTTATGTCTTCAGACAGAAACCACAGAGGAAGCTACACACACTTGCACATTTGCATTTGGAAACACAGCTCGGGTCTCAGCAGCCTATTATATGAACTTGAAGCCCATTTTATTGTGTGTTTATGTGTAGAAGGTTGTAGGGTCTTTTTCTGGCAGAAGACAAACAGTAAATAAGCTTAAAACAGAAAATTAAAGCAGACGTATGATTGATAAAGAGATAAAGGGACAGGAAGAAAAAGTGAACTGACAAATATTAGAAAAGTTGAAAACAGTTATAATAAATATGAACAATTCTTTACAAAAAAGCCAAAATACTATGATCGTTACTGTATACAGTGAAATACACTAATATTTTCCTATTTATATTTGCATAAAGAGCAGTGGGTATGATAATGATTCCCATGTATTTTTTAAAACAGCATTTTACAGTTTGACTGCTGTTGGGATACAGGACATATGATTGTGCTCCAGGTTACACCGTGGCTGTAAAAGTCTGCCAGTGAAGGAACTGCTCAGGGGGTGAAAGGTGTTAGCTTCTCCTCTCATCCACCTTCTCTGTGGGATCTATGGAACTGGTCAGAACAGAGCAGGCACTAACATGGTGAAGGTAAACACATTACAATAGTTGCCGTATATACACGTATATTATATAAATTTGTTGCTGTATTAGCAACTCTTATATATTCAATTCACTTTTATTTATATAGCGCAAAATCAGAACAACAGTTGCCTCAAGGCGCTTTATATTGTAAGGTAGACCCTACAATAATACATACAATACATACATCAGCTGTAAATACTCATTCTTACAGAAACAATGTGATTTGTGCATGTCTTTTGTCCTGTCTTCCTTCTCTCACCCCAACCGGTCTCAGCAGATGACCTGCACTACAGTCTGTTTGTCTGGTGGACCCTTTATTTGCCCAGTCCGATTTAAGGTTTCCTAGACTGTTCTGCATAAAAACACTTTTACAAAGTACCCATGACTGTATAACATATCACATTACAAAATATTAAAATAAAAATAAAACATGTTTAAATATTTCATGTTTTTATTGACATCAAAATGAATTTGCTGAAATCTTTTTTTGTTTTTGTTTTTTTTAAATATTTGAAAGCTGTATCATACATTGATGGAGAGTCTTTTGCTACTGCAGCTCATTTGCAGTAATTAGCAACTACCTACACATGTGTGTCTTTCTTTCCTCTCTTAAACATAGTTCTTTGGAATATGCCAAGACTACAGCCAAACCACCTATTCAGACTCATCCAAAAACACACTCCTGTGTTTTTGTCTCTTGGTGACTTGAAAATGTTGCAGCTGGCCACACTGAAACTCCTTAAAAATGGCATGAAAAAGAAAAGCAGGCGGGCTCTTTGTAAAAAAGTTCATGCTGTCCAAGGCAAGATGCATGTCTGTGGCTTAATGGCCCATTGCACTCCAAGGATATAATGTGCAAATATGATGTATAT